CTAGATTGTCAAAGAATGGGTATGGAAAGGTTTCTTTCCCTTTTGATTTTATAGGGTTGTTTGAGCAACATGATTTTCTTCCTTGAAGATGTGGTAGAACTGAGCAATAAACCCACTTGGTCCCAGTTTAAATTTTTTTAAATTTATTGATATTCTATCCTCTGGATTTTGGTGCATTCTGGTCTAATATTTTCCTTTTCACCTCTAATTTTATCAGCTTGGATTTTCTTTCTCTTTCTTTTGGCTAGTTTTGCTAAGGGCTTGTCAGTCTTGTTTATCTTATCAAATCAACACTGTTTCACTGATACTTTGTGCTGCTCTTGTGAGTTTTATTTAATTAATTTCACCTCTGATCTCTAGTTTTCCTTTCATTCTACTAATTTTATGTGTGGCTTGCTCTTGTTTTTCCAAGACATTGAGATTCATTATTAGGCTATTTAGTTGAGATCACTGACTTTTTTTTTTTTTAAGACAGGGTTTTGCTACATAGCTCAAGCTGGCCTCAAATGTTATACAGCCAAGGCTGGACTTGACCTAACTGTCCTCCCTGCTTCACTCTTCTAAGAACTGTGATCATAGTTATGTGTCTAGCCACCCTCATATATACTTTATAACCTTTCTTTAGAACTGTCTTTTCCATATTCCAAATATTCTCATAAAATGATGTTTTCATTTAAATTTTATTCTAGGTATTTTTAAGACTTCCTACTCTCAATTTTGTTAAGGACACAATGATCATTCAAAAATACACTGTTTACTCCATGTTTATTGCAGCACTGTTCGCAATAGCTAGGATATGGAAACAACCTAGGTGCCCCACCACAGATGAATGGATCCAAAAATTGTGGTATCTATACACAATGGAATATTATGCAGCCATTAGAAATGACAAAATAATGGCATTTGCAGGGAAATGGATGGAGCTAGAAGGAATCATGTTGAGCGAGGTAAGCCAAGAACGAAGAGACAAACGGTACATGGTCTCCCTCATAAGTGGATGCTAAATCCAAAAGGTTAGTGATACGACAAAACTAACAGGACTTAAGAAACAAAGAACTCCCGCTCATCTGGTTGAACCACTACTAAATATCCTCATGCTGCTGATCACAAATATGGTATATAACATGTGAACACTGTTATATATTACAGACTGTGGTAGACAATTTGCTCCAGGGAAGTTAGAATGAACTTGTGACTTTGAAATTATGTAATCATTTAATCACAATCAAAAAAAAAAAAAAAAAAAAGAACCTCGGGGAAGGGAGGGAGGGAGGGGATGGTAGGGGGAAAACAATGGAGGGGGTAACAATGTTCAAGAGGAAGTGTACTCATAACCTCACTCATGTAACTGTGACCCTCTGTATAGTAGCTTTACAATAAAAAAAAAAAAAATACACTGTTTAATCTTTGTGAGTTTGTACAGATCCTATACCTTCTCTTGATATTGATGTCTAGTTTTATTCCTTCATGATCTATTAGATACAGGCAATGACTTCAACTGTTTCTATTTGGCAGGATCTGCTTTATGGCCTAAAATGTGTTCTAATTTGGAGAAAGTTCCATGGGCTACTGAGAACAGTGTCTATTCTGGACCTGTTTGATAGAACGCTCTGTAGAGCTCTGTTAAGTCTTATTATCTGTAGTGCAAGTTATTCTGAAATTTCTTCTTTTTTTGTTTTTTTTGGGTCCGGTCATTGAGCCTGAACTCTGGGCCTGGGTGCTGTCCCTCAGCTCTTCAGCTCAAGGCTAGCCCGCTCTACCACTTGAGCCACAGCGCCACTTCCGGCTTTTTTCATTTTGCTTATGTGGTGCTGAGGAATGGAACCCAGGGCCTCAGGCATGCAAGGCAAGTGCTCTACCATGGAGCCATCTTCCCAGTCCTATTTTGAAATTTCTTTGTCCACTCTTAGTCAATTAGACTGCAGTATTGAGGTCATTCACTCTTACTTTATGTGGACTTATTTGTCCCTTTACAAAATTTGGTAAAATATAAATATATAATTATAATTATTATATCTTTTCAATTGATTCTTATCCCTCTAATTTTGGAATGAAGTCAGTTTTATCAGATATGAGTCTAGTTGTTCTTGCTTGTTTTTGGATTCTGGATGCTTGGAGTATCACTTTCCATCTTTTAATGCTCTCAGTCTATCATGCCTCTGAGATGACTTTCTTTCAGACAACAGTTGGGTCTTGCTTTGTAAGCCATCCAGCCAACTATATCTTTTAGTTAAGATATTTAGCATTATTTACATTTAGCATTATTGTTGTACTAATTCCTCATTTTTTATCTTACTTGCCTCAAGAACTTTATCATTTATGTGTATTATGATGATGATGATGATGATATTGGTGCTGGTACTGGCACTTTAACTCACTGGGACTTTAACTGAGCTCTTTAACTCAAGCCTAGCGCTCTACCACTTGAGTCACAGCTCCACTTCTGGCTTTTTGTGATTAATTGGAGATAAGAATCTCACAGACTTTTCCTGCCTGGATTGGCTTTGAATTGCAATCTCAAACCTCAGCCTCCAGAGTAGCTAGCAGTAATAACAGGTGTGAGCCTCTGGCATTCAGCTAAAATATATTTTTTAGTATCTTTAAGTAGTTATACAAAGGGGTTGCCATTCAACAAAGAAGTTTATGAATACAATGTCAATGTCATCATTTTCAACATTCTCCCCCATTCTTCCCACCCCACCTCAATTTTCTTCATTTTGTAGGCTACATATTGAATTTTATGACTGCATTTTTTCCCACTTCCTTTCTTCATTCATCTATCCCTTCCCTTGACTGTACTGCCTCCTTTTGAGTACCAGTTTCCTGGTATTTATTCTGTTGGATTATGAGTTAGCCTTTCTAAGGAATTACATTGGAATTCTTCCCTGAATCTACCATATTTCAGTACACTTATGTACATTTGCATACCACACTGAGTATTTACTTATATACTTACAAATCAACTGTGGCTTCCACATATGAGAGGAAATATGCATCCTTTGTCTCTCTGGGCCTGACTTCACTTAACATGATTTTTTCCAGGTACTTATATTTCTTTTCAAATAATGCAGTCTCATTCTTTCCAACAGATGTGTAAAATTCCATTATGTCTATCTACCATGTCATCAGGCCAAATTTCTACAGTAGACTTCAGGCTTGTAAAAACTATAGCCCTGCAGCTAGAACTGCCAGTTCTTTGTCACAAGGATTGGTCTGATTTACCTTGTGGATGCTGCTTTGGGTTTACCTCAATCCCCTCCTCCCTCCCACCACTGGTGGGGTTGGAGTTGTGGATGGTTTACTATTTTAGTCTCCATCATCTTTCTATTTCCTGTTCTTTCTTAGCTGTTCAGATCCATTTTTCTTGATTCACAATGCTTTTTCTCTCTCTCTTTGAGGTATACTGTTTCCTTTGTTGCCCCGACTCTTCTCATTTATGAAGAAAACTTCTAATTTGGCTTCTCACACCAGTACCTCTCACCTACTCATATTATCTCCATTCCTGATACTGTGAACAGGAATTAAAGCAGACAGTGTCAAGAAATAATCACAGTTCCTTGATACATGATAGCCATGGTTCTTAACATCTGATACTTAGTCAAAAAATTGCAAGAAATGTTAGTTCACATCTGACTCTTATAAAGTATTTACCTCTAGTCAAGTAAAGATACATAATTTCTAATTAACTGTGCCTTTATCAGAGTGTTTTTGTATCTGCTACAAACTGCTAATAATTGAGTTGAAGATAATTTAGATATATTCCTACAATCATGTAGATGAGTAGGAATTTCTTTTTAAAGAATATATTACAAAGTTCACAAGAAAAAAAGGCATATATCTCTGCTTAGATTCAAGTTTCAAGTTCTTCATGCCCAAGCCTGTCATAAGAATACACTGTTGAAGGTTCTTGAATCATAAGCAAAGAAACAACATTGTTGTAGAGGGCAAAGATAGGCTACCTTGTTTATAGTAAAAACAAGGAATTAATAGATGCTTTGAACAAACAGACCCCAGAACAATTCAAGTTGAGGCTAATTAGCATTTAAAAAATGCAGTATTGGGGATTGAACCCAGGACCACAAGATTTCTAGGCAAGCTTTCTACCATTTAATCTTAATGTCTTCTGTGTTCACAGAGCTCTCTACTATACCAGTATAGAATAAACTTTTACTAGACAGTGTTGGTAGAGAGATGACATATGGGTATTGACAGAAATAACCAACCCTACAGAATGTTTTCTATTATCCCCTTCTAATTCCTGATAAGTCTGCAGAGGGACTGCTTTCATTTTATTGACCTTTATTTCTCTCTCCAGCATCATTAAAAAGACAAAGACAAGCCATATTTATATATTTATTCATACATATGTAAAAGATTTTTGAAAGTAAATGTGTGTAATTACTTTTTGGCAATACTGGAGTCTGAACTCAAGGCCTTGAGCTTGCTAGGCGGTGCTCTACCCATCAGAACCATGTTTTCAGCCCTTTGGCTTCAGTTATTTTTTTATTTTTATTTTTGGGTCCAGTCGTGGGGCCTGAACTCTGGGCCTGGGCACTGTCCCTCAGCTCTTCAGCTCAAGGCTAGCGCTCTACCACTTGAGCCACAGTGCCACTTCCAGCTTTTTTCTTTTTGCTTATGTGGTGCTGGGGAATCGAACCCAGGGCCTCAGGCATGCAAGGCAAGCGCTCTACCACTGAGCCACCTTCCCAGCCCCTTCAGTTATTTTTTAAGTAAATTCTCACATTTTTGTCTGGGCTGACTTATACCAATATTCTCCTATTTCCAATTCCTCTACAGCTAAGATGACAGGGCAATGCACCCAGATTATTAGTTGAGAAAAGGTGTGGGTAATTTTTGCTTGAGCTGTCTCTAAACCAGAATCTTCCCAGTTTCTGTCTCCTGATTAGCTGAGATTACTGAGTGACTGTATCTGGTCATGTATAATTATTTTTAAAAGGACAAAAAAGAATACAAAATGGTTAATATAAAAGCCAACTTACCAATGATTCCACTGTCTCTGCTTTCAAGGGTGGAAGTTGGACTGGTAACAGCCCCATAACTACAGTCCTTGGCAGTTGCATTTGAACTGACTGGTGGGAGGGTAGAACAGGGGCTACTCGCTGGTGGAGAGGCAGTGCTGCTAGTCAGGGTGGAGCAGGGACTTATTCTCTGGGTAATTGCTGAAGTCTGAAAGATTAAACAACACAAAGTAGGATAAGTACATTAGGTATCATAGCAAAATAATATCTTTATGAATAAACAATCTACACATACAATTTTTTACCACTATTAGGCTTTGTTTTTGTTTTCCAAGATAAGAGAGTCTACAATTAAGGTAAAAGTTGATAAAAGTAACATCAGTAGATACTTGTGGCCAGTTTTTCTGCTTAGGTAACAATTGTTCCAAGTACTTTTGCTAACAGAAAATAGGAATTTCTTATTCAACACGTTTCTAGTTCAACTCAAAAGTCCCCAGAAGGCATAGAACTTTCCTTTGTTAATAATTTAGATTACAGAATAGACATTTACTAGATAGAAAAAAGAAATAATAGCTCATAGCCAAGAATAAACAAAAATAAAATAAAAATTTTGATACATAGACAGCTGTCTAGAGACAATAAATAAATGCAGAGAGAAATTATTTATTCTCAAAGTAAATGTTAACTCTCAATGTTAGCTTAATACAAAATGAAATTTCTTTGTAGAAAATAACTACACACTAAGATTGACCTATATCATGAGTGATTCCTTCACTGCAAACTATCTTCTTTGTAGGTTATTAATGCAAAAGATAAAACTTACGATAAGATTTATAAGGTCCATCCTAACGTCTTAGAAACTGTTGAGAGAAGAAAGTAAATTTGGAACTTGAATATCACTTTCAAAATTTGGTCTTTTGTGGAAAAATTATATATACCAGTTTGCTGTCCTAGATTCAGTCATCACAGTACTATTTGCAGGATATTACGATTATAAGATTTTTCCTAAATATAGCAGTCATCTATTAATATGCTCTTTAGCTCAGAAGTCATCAAATGAACATGGCCTCTTAGTTCTTAATAATTTCCTAAGAATAGAAATTCTAGTGTTCAATTTAACCACCTTCTGTTGACAGTATTAAACAACTACCATTTTGATTTATTGTTAATATTTTACATCTACAGAAAGCTTAAAAACATATTTCTACTTAAAACATATTTCTACTATTTCTACTACTTATTAATCTGGTATGAAAGGCATAATAGCATTTTCTTCTAAGAAATGTGAAAATGAAACATCAAAAATATGAAAGCAATGAAATAGCCACATAATTCATATAGTCATACATACATTTATATGCTAACTTTATTACATGTTACTTTATACTTTTTAAGATATTTTACAGCTTGTGGAGCATTTTAACATTAAAAATTTAACTTGACCCTTGAAACAATCCTGTAATGTGTTATTTCTTGTTATACTAGAATATTACGGTGTAGCTGTTAAGAACACAAAATGTAAAATAAGAATATCTGTATATTCTTTCTAACAATGTGATTATACATTTTCTTATTTGAATATTGAAATATGAGTCAACACCATTACACTGAATTGTAATGAAATTTAAACAAAACACTACAAGTAATGCAATTAGTGCAGTGATTGGTATACCTGAAGCATTTAATAACGGTCAGTTCTTATTACCTATAAAAAACATCCCAAGCTCAGAGATTAAGTGACATCCCTTAGTTTAAAAATGGTAGGGTGCTGCGGGTGCCGGTGGCTCACACCTGTAATCCTAGCTACTCAGGAGGCTGAGATCTGAGGATAGTGGTTCAAAGCCCAGGCAGGAACTCTTATCTCCAATAAACCACTAGAAAACCAGAAGTGGCACTGTAGCTCAAGTGGTACAGCGCTCACCTTGAGTTGAAGAGCACAGGAACAGCGCCCAAGCCCAGAGCTCAATCTCTGCGACCACCCTCCCTCCGCCCCCCCCCCCCCCAACAAAAAAGGTAGGTACTAGATCTGAAACTAGGATATATGTTCTCTACATGCTGGTTCAATGGCTTTTCTGTTATGCTGTGGTTTGTTAGTGATTCTACTTATTTATATAAGATTATTTTACTCAGAATATCTATAAGCAAGGCATATTCCATAGAGTTGTGTCTTTTTTTCAAAAATCACTATAACATGAGGAACCTCAAAAATGAGAAGCACAAATTTGATCAGTTCAGGAAATGTTATTTTGTATAAAAAAGGAGTCTTTGGTAATACTCAGGCAATAATATATAAGATTTATATCATGTTACTTGGTCAGTATTAGTCATATATTGATTAGATATGAATGTCAAAACATAAAAAATAGATGTTTTATTTACCCCAGTATTTATATAACCTTCAATATGTCACTTTCATTTTTTTATCCATAAAGTATAGCATATTGACATGTATACAATGTAAATTGATTTTTTTAAAAAATTGATCAGGACTGCCAATGGGAAGATTCTTTTACTGTAAGATACCAAGAAAAATCCCACAACTAAATCTGTAACATGCTATCCACTGATAAGAACTCTGAAGAAAATAAAGCAAAGAGACATCAGGATGAGTAAGTGGTATTAGATAGAGTCATTAAGGAAGATCTCTCTGAGACAGAAATATGAAGTAGAATTCTGAGTGAAGTGAGGTAGAGACTTATGCATGAAGAGCATACCAGTAAGAATAAGCATGTTTTATGTTCAAGGAGTAATAGGATGCCAGAATGGGTGGAGAACAGTTGACTGGTGAATGTGAAAGGGGAGAAAATAATGTAGGAAAGCTATCAAGGGAGGAGATCAGATAGTGCCTTTCTTGGTTGTAGTAGACTTTAAATTTTATTAATGTGACGGAAATTCAATGGTAGATTAAAAGCAGAGAAGTGATAGAATCACACTTGTTAAGGATCACTCTGGCAACTGTGTGAATATAATGTATGAGGATAAAAGTAGAAGTAGAGAATGATTAGGAAGACACTTTTTAAAAATTATCTTTAAGTAGTGGTATAAAGGAGTTGACATTCAATGAAGCAGTTTATGAATATGATTCATCTTAGTCAATGTTACCCCTTTGAGCATGCTTACCCCTTTCTCCCAATCCTCCTTCCCTAATTTTTCCTAATTTTGTAAGATGCATTGACTTTTTTTTTTTAACTGCAGTTGAGGTCTATTTACTGAGTACCTATTAATGGCTGACATTGTTCTAGGTTCAGAGGATTAAGCACTGAAGTGAACAAAAATCCCAGCTGTTCTAGTTTAACATGCTTATCAAAATTACAGTTGCTGAGGGAAAAGATGACTGACTTAGACTCAGGTGAAGCGGAAAAGTAGTAAGGAGGAATCAGACTTAGTATATATTTTGAAGACAAAATCCACAATTTTCTAGAAGAGTAAAGGTGGGATATGAGAGAAACTAAGAATGGCTCCAATACTTCTTTTCTAAGCAAGTAAGTGATACCATTTGCTTAACTGAGAAGTTGCAGAATGAGCAGGCACTGGTGGGGAAATGAAAAAAATGCTTTTAATATTTTAAGTTAAAATATTAAATTTTATATATTTTAAATATGTAGTTTGAAAGTACTAAATAGGCAGTTTCACACAAACATCTCTAGATTTGTGAGAAAAGGCAGTGCAAAAGGCAAAGAAAAGGAGGAAACGGTGGGACTAGAGATAATTCAGGAATTAAGATAGCATTTATAGAACTAAGGATTGAGCAGAATCAGTAAGTATCTGAATTTTTTGGGGGGGGGGGTCAAGCCACTTTATTGATGCTCGGAGGCAGGGAGGGGTTGAAAATGCAACGCAGAGCGCACACTGGCGTCCTCGACGGGGAGGGCCCTTCCCGGATCCGTAGTCTCGAAAGCTAAGTGTCTGAATTTTAAGTATATAAATTTTATAAAAACTTCCCAAGTGCACTCAGTAAAACCAATGACCTAAGAATAAAAATAAGAGATCTAAAGGCAGGTATGTGCACTGAAATTATCCCTGTAGAATTTATTATGACATAACTAATATATGACATAGAATTTTCACAAATGTTTATGTATTGTGCAGTTTGAAATTAATTTTGTCATTTTTCTGAATGAAATGCTTACAAGACATTTATGTTAATAATTGAGATTACATAAATGAATCAGATTCTTAGCAATTTCTTTGCTATCTTTAAAAGATAGAAAACAGCCCAAAAAAGAAAACTATTAAATGGAATTTTAATCACTGATGTTTTAAAACTTTTTAGACCATTCACTTTTTCATGTTTTCTACTTTTCTAACATGTATTTAAAATTTTTTAGGTAAATCTTTATATTCTATACGTTTGGTTGCATTTATTTTTCTTTATTGTACTTTAAAATATTGGATAATTTCTGTGATTTCATGATGTTTAGGAGTATATTAGTTACTATTAAATATGTGAGAATTATTTTTTTTCTGGTGGTACTGGGGTTTGAACTCATGGCCTTTGTGCTTGGTAGGCAGGCATTCTACTGCCTAGCTATAATACATCTATTTTAGGCTTCTCATACTAGCTAGAATGAAAGGTGTGGACCACTGTGCTCAGATCTCAGTTGAGAAGGGCTACTGCAAACTTTTTTTGGTCTGGGCTGGCCTTCTCAATCTCAGCTTCCCAAGTAGATAGTATTTTTAAGTATGAGGCATTGGTGTCTAGTTACATTTGGCCATTTTTTTTTTCTTTTGCAGTATTTGAGGTTTGAATTCAGGACTTCATACTCAGCTATCACTTGACCCATGCCTCTAGCTCTGCTATTTGCTGGTTATTTGAAAGAAGTATTATGGACTTTTCTGCCCAGACTGGCCTCAAGCTGTGAACCTCTGTATGTCAACTTCCTAAGTCATTAGTGTTCCATTATTTGAGGATCTTAAAAGTTTTCTTTTAACTTTACATTTCTAAGTAACCATTTTATAACTCTACTGTCATCAAAGTAATTGGTATATTTTAAAATTTGTGAAGAATTTCTGCTCCACATTTTACCAGTTTAGTCAATAATCTATGTGTACGTGAAAACAGTAAAATACTCATATGTCAATTTTGTTGGCTGGCTGGTTTGCTTACTTGCTTGCATATTTATTTATTTATTCTTTTTGGATTTGAAATCAAACAATATGTAAAAAGACAGTAATAAACTGAAGAAATATAGTGACTATGGAAAATGAAGTTATACTTCAAGCCTCAAATTGCATTAAACACTTAGGACTGTTCCTTTCAGAATGAATACACACACACGCACACACACACACACACACACACACACACACACACACAATTTTTCTTCTAGTATAAGAAGCTGATTCACATTGCTTTTCACAAAGCTGACAGCAAGCAACTTTTACCTGATTTTCATCCTGCACCTCCATCTCGTACTGGTCACCTGGCTGAACCTCTGTGACTTTCTCACCAAGGAGGAAACCCAGACGCGTCATGAGTGTGTTTGCAGCCTCATCTACAGATGGAGGGGGGCCAAGTTCCTGCTCAGCATCATCTATAACAAGAAGGCATGGAAAACCATGAATCTTTCATACTACAGTGTTCTGGTCTTTGCCTAGGTTTATACTGTTTGCTCATTTCTTCAGTTTTCACATTGTGAACCCAAAATTCTAAATTACAGTATGTGTGCAGACAGTCCCACTTTTAAAGACTATAATTTGATATACAGTATACTGAGATTATCCTCAATTTATCTATTGGGGACACTTGAACTTGGGAGGATGTTTTTGTTTCTTATTAATCAGAAAAAAGCTGCTGTTTCTTTGGTAATTGCTTTCCTAACACAGTCCTAGTGTTGACATCTAGTTCCTAGTCATAATGACATCTAGTTCCTAGTCACACTTCACTCAGGTTCTTTTACCATGTTTTTTTTCTTTTTAACAGTTTGCATAGTCAATTTGTATTTTGAAATAATTTCAAGCTTACTAAAAATGTTTCAAGAACAGTACAAAGAATACTTTTTCTTAGCCATTTCAAAGTTACAGATGCCCATGCCCTCAGATAGTATGCATTTCTATAAATGATATTCTTTTATAAAACCCACACGATCAGCAAAGAAATGAGTAAAGTAACATTTCATGTATCTATCAGCTCTTCCACAGACCTCACTTAAGTTTGAATGTTTGCTCAGTAATGTCTTTTTACAGAAAAAGAATGCAATTCAGGCTTGTGCAATTCACTTAGTAATTAATTCTCTTCATCTCTTTTAATCTGTAATGATTCTTTAGTCTTAAGACTTTCATGACCTTGACACTTTCGAGAATTATAAGCTTGCACACCACTCTTTAGAATTTACTTCTTGATTTGATCCAGGTGATATATACATACTATATACATATATACACACATATATGTATATATACACATATATACATACATACATGTAATTTTTTAGCAGAAATATCACAAAAGCACTATTGTGTTAACGTGGTCAACTGGATTTTATGGTGTAAGATTTTTTTTCAGTTAAAAAAATCATCATGGGCTGGGAAGGTGGCTCAGTGGTAGAGTGCTTGCTTTGCATGCCTGAGGCCCTGGGTTTGATTCCTCAGCACCACATAAGCAAAAAGAAAAAAAGCCGGAAGTTGTTGTGCTGTGGTTCAAGAGGTAGAGTGCTAGCCTTGAGCTGAAGCACTGAGGGACAGCGCCCAGGCCCAGAGTTCAGGCCTCACGACCGGACCCAAAAAAAAAAAAAAAAAAGAAAAAGAAATTGCCAAGCCAATTAATATTTTAAAAAAAATCATCATACTCACAAATAAAATAAAATTTAAAAAAATCATCATACTTTATCCCTTTGTAATTACTAATATCAAAGGTAGTATGAAATTTACGTAAATGTTTCATTCCTCAACATACCTGTGGTAAAATATATATAACAAAATTTTCCCTTTAGCCATTTTAAGTTAGGATTCAGTTAATACATTCACAATGTTGTATGACCTTTGCCACCATTCATTTTCCATCAGCCCCAACAAGAACATTATACCTATTAAAAATAACTTTTACATTTCTTCCTTTTATTAACTCCTAATGACTGCCATTCTATTTTCTGCCTCTGTATAAGTACCCATTCTAGGGACCTCCTGTAAATGGAATCATACAATATTTGCCATTTTGTGTAATTCTTATCTCACTGAGCAAAATGGTTTCAAGGTTCATCATATTATCATATGTATACATATACATATATATACATACACATACACACAGATTTGGCCCATTATTTTTAACTTGGCCCATTATTATTAATGCTTCTTGAGTTAATTACTATAATAATTTTCTTAAATTCCATTTTTAATCTCAAATCTCTATGCAAAAGAACAAGTAATCCAACCTGGTGCTCATGCCTATCATTTTAGTAATTCAACAGGATTAGATCTAAATTATTGAGGTTTGAAGCTAGCTGGGGTAGAAAAGTGCATGAGACTCCAACTCCAAAATAACCAGAAAAAATTGGAATGGAGGTTTGGCTTAAGTGGTAAAATAAGTAAGCAAGCTAAGTGAGGATGAAGTCCTGAGTTCAAACCCAAGTACCACCAAAACAAACAAAAAAGAATAAGTAATTCAATTAATAAATTGGCAAATGAGAACCAGAGTTCTCAGCAGTACAAATGACCAATAAACATGAAGAAATATTTGATATACTTAGTTAAAGGAAATGTAAATGAAAATGCTGAGATTCCATCTCACACCAGTCAGAATGGCAATCATCAAGAAAAAGAACAAATAAATCTGAAGAAGTGTGGAGAGAAAGAAATCTTCATACACTGTTGGTGGAAATGAAAATTAGTACAGACACTATGGAAATGCAAATTACTCCAGACAAATTCTTTGAGAAACTAAACAGAAGCACCATAAAATCCTCCTAATATACTATTGGGCATCTATTCAAAGAATGTAAATCAGCAAGAGAAATACTTGCACACTCATGTTTATAGCAGTGCTACTCAAAACAGCTAAGATATGGACCAGCCTATGTACCTTCCAAATAGACTTCTGGCTAAAGAAAATGTAGTACATATATACCATAGAGTATTATTTAGCCATAAAGAATAATAAAATTAGGTTGTTTGTAGGAAAATGGATAGAACTGAAGGCCACCACATGTTAAGTGAGAAAAGCCAAGCTCAGAATTACAAATGTAGAATCTAGGCCAAAAAAATCAGTATGACATGATTGTAAAAGACCCAAGGGTTAGAGGCATGGCTCAATTGGTAGAGTGTCAGCCAATGAGTGAAAGTGTCCTATCAAGAGTTCAAATCCCAGTCTTGAACAAAAAAAGGAGGACCATTTGGGGGAGGAAGTTGTGGATTGGGGGAAAGAGAATAAATGGGAAGGATGAACATTATGGAAGTACATTATATATGAAAATAACATCATGAAATCCATCAGGAACTCTTAAAAAGAATAGGACTAAGGAGGGGAACTAAGAAAGTAACACAGAGGGGCTGAATTTAATCAAAGCACATTTTATGTATGTCAATGGAATCTTTTTGCACCAAGAATTCATGCTAATGAAAAAGCAATTAAAAAGAATGTTACAAAACTCTTTTTTAATGGAGTTAAATAATGCCACATGGTTTTATAACAACTACAAAAGATTCTTATTATTTTAGGATACTCAGTATCACACTTTTAAACAATTCCAAATTCCCAGAAAATAAGATTTTTATATTATTCAGTATAACATTTATCTTCTACTGAAGCCACGGGTCAGATGAAGGGTATATGAATATGTATATTAACTCAGTGATCCATCTGTGGAAAATCTATATAGAATTCCCATTGACTTTATGTCAGAGGCTTTATTTTTCCTTTCAAGAGGCAACATAAGTAGATTTCTTTGACATGTGGTGTAAAATAGTACATGTATTTTTATATTATAAATGTTTAGATTTATGTAGAATGTTTCCTAAGAATGGTTGAAAGCTTCTTATTCATTGGTCAAATACCAAGATAAAATTGTTTTCTTTAATTTAATGAATAACCCTCCTCCTGCTGTGCATTGAGTTTATCTTCTCTAAAATTTTCTCATCACAGCCGGGTGCTGGTGGCTCATGCCTGTAATCCTAGCTACTCAGGAGGCTGAGATCTGAGGATCACAGTTTAAAGCCAGCCCAGGCAGGAAAGTCCGTGAGACTCTTATCTACAATAAACCACTAGAAAATTGGAAGTGGTGTTGTAGCTCAAAGGGTAGAGCACTTGCCTTGAGCTGAAGAGCGCAGGGACAGTGCCGAAGCCGAGTTCCAGCCCCACGACCGACCAAAAAAAAAAAAATTCTCATCACAAATTTCATACCTTTACTAAAATATTCCAGAACTTCATTTCACTTTCTCCTAAAGAGTTATTCTGTCTTTTCCTTTTTTATATTTGGTTTAATAGTTCTAATAAAGCACTCACTGAATAAAAAAGATTAGTAAAATAATTGGTATGAGGATTTAAGAGGCATTTTGATGGTTCTGAGCAAATATACCAAACAGAAGAGAGACAGAGAATAATGGCCATCAATAGTGGGCAAGGAATAAAATTTGACAGCAATAAGACAATATGCCTACTAGGCTAGACACAAACAATAAGTAGTTTCATACTTTTAATTCTCAGCATGCTCTTCACCTTTTCACATTTGGGTGGTTACATTTTCCTTTATGATACATTCACTATAAATTACCTATTTCTCATTGATATAAATATGGCACCTCTTTGTGCTATACTTAATCATTATAGAAACCTAGGTGGTTTCTCTGACAGGACTAATTGCCAAAGCAAATCTGGTTATATTTCCATTTCTTAGTTCTTAAATGTTTCCTTTTCTAATAACACTGAAGAGTGGGTGAGTACTAAAAGCAGGTGCTTTAATTTGTTACAGTAAGAGCTGAAAAGGTTTGGCAGGTATTCCACATCCTTCCAAAACTCAGTTCTGGGTGGTGAGAATCACTGCCTACCAGTTATGGAGAATCAAAACGGAGCAGCTTGTTTGGAGACACTACCCTACATTTCTTAGTTCCCAGGTATACCTGAAGGTGAGGGGGAAGAAATGTGTGAAACAAATGGTAAATTACTAACAATTGTTGAAACTAGAGGATAAGTGGATTATGTTGGAGTACTCTTAGTATGTTTAAAGTTTCCCAAAATAAATTTTTTGGGGGACAAGGACTTTATTTGAACCAGGGGATGTTATGAACAGACTTGAAATGTGACTGTATGACCGGATTTGTATTCTTGTGTGTGTGTGTGTGTGTGTGAGAGAGAGAGAGAGAGAGAGAGAGAGAGAGAGAGAGAAAGAGAGAGAGAGATTGAGAGAGAGAGACTGAGAGAGAGAGATGTTATTAGTTTTAATTTTGAGATTTTTACTTGCTAAGCCGGTACTCTATGGCCTGAAACATGCCTCCAGCCTTTTGGCTCTACTTGTTTTTGACATAGGGTCTCACTTTTTACCCAGGCTGGTCTGGACTGCAGTTGTTCTCCTTATACTTCCTGTTGTAGCTGAGATGATAG